TTACAAATTCGTACATATGTATGCGTGAGATATATTGATGTGGTAATAAACATGACACATCACTACACACTACATCAATATCGCACGCATACATACTCACAAATTGTCGGTAAAACAGCGGATTTTTGGAGTTTGATCTAGGGTTTAGGATACTCTTAATAAATCATAAAATTAATGTTATATTATTGACTAATTGCTTAAATTTTAGCAATTACTAAACATCCCACGCTAACTCCCGTAAGGGTGTCGGTCTTTAATAGTATCTCGTCGGTGCGCTAGTGTACGGGGGTTCTGACAAAAGGCTGGGATGGCCGCTCTCATGCTTCTCTCTGGTTTAGTGACTTCAATTTTTAACGCGCCATTTCGAATCGCACTCTTCTTTTGTTCCCATAAGTAGATAATGTTTGATTAATCAAGCTATTTCGAATCGTAATCCTTCATTTGTTCCCATCGATTAATCAAGTTAAAAATATATACACATGACATTTCGATTTTATCGATGTATATGTTGGATATAAAACGAAACTGTTGTGTGTGTACATAATATATATTCAACTATATATACTTCACTTTTTATGCCTGGACGAAGGAAACATTTACCGAAAATGAGCAAAAATCCAGTAAGTCGTGTTTGAAATTACGATTGCGATTTTATTTGAAAGAGTGAGAGAAAGAGAGAGAGAAAGAGAGAGAGGATTAGTAGTCTCGACAAAATTACGATTGACTGTTTCAGAGTCCCAGAATGTTAGAAAAGACGTTGATTTGCAACAAGTGTTTTGTACCGATGTAACATAATTTACATGATGTAACTGGTAACAGAAGAAAGCGTCCGTGTTACGTCGGTACAAAACATTTAACGCGCAGCGCGACCACATCTTCTGCCAGGCTTGTCTGCAACAATGTAAAAATTTTAAGAAAAGTTTTCTCTCGCGAATTACGATGTTTGTATCCTTTCTATTTTTTTTTTTTTTTTATTAATTTACGCTGTCGACGATGCGCGCCGCTTCAAGGATAAAAAGTACGAGATACTGAAGACCCAGTATTGATTGGAACAGGGCAATTTGAAAGTGTTGACAGAAAAATGCGCTGTTGGAACCATGTACTGGGTCTTCAGTATAAACGACAGAGAAGTACGTGAATTTGAAGGAGAAACTCATCAAGAAACTGCTCGCTGAGATACAGAGGGGAACTCCACAATCCGTGTACCGCGCGATGGAGACGCCGCCCGACTATGCATCACTCGAGCACCGTGTAAAGTGCGAAAGGCTTTGTTTAATATAAAACGGACGAACAATACTATATTTCCGAGCGAGATCAGAGAAATGAAAACGGATCTCCTTTCGTATTCAGTAGACAGTAGTAGTGACACGTTATACTGAAATATATAGTGTTCTGGCCATAGGTTGAAATACACAAAAATAATCAGGAGTTTGCGTTTTTTCACTCTAATATCCGTTTCTATTAATGTAAATTAACTTTAATTTCGGTTTAACGTATTTTTTTATTTTTCTAATTTTTAGAACTAGAAAAAGACAAAAGGTAAGTAACTTTAAGTCAAACCGACGTTAAAGTTTGCATTAATATAAATGGACATAATTGCACTCTTGTCAATATTTAAAGATAAAAATGATTCTTGACACTGGCTTGTAAAAGATATATTCGCCTTTTATTTAAAAGGCTACGTAAGAATGTTACAATATAGAAAGTTTAATCTATTAATTTTTATAATATATACGAATAAAAACTATATTCTCTCTATCATTAATTACACTTTGACGGAATTTAGGATCCGACTACGTATGCTACGACCGTCGCGTGGTCTAGCTTGCCGGGTATCATCGATATCTTCTCCAGTGTCTTTTTTCTTCGAGATCTCTGTTCCTGCTTCGAGAGCTGCACGAGGTGGCCATCTTTGTGTTGCGCGTAATACAATTCCGTGTCTTCCAGAATCCGCCTCTTCGCCGCAGTTATACGTACCTGCGAACAAAAGTGAGATCAATCAGTAGATTATATAAGTGTCGATCGATGTGCCGCAAGGCACCTTTTTTTTATTCTTCGCTCACCGCAAAGTCCAAGAGAAGTTCACACAGATGTTTGGCACTGTTGCACGGCGGCCCTTCTCCGGAAACCCCGCGTCTCAGCAGATCCTCTATTCTGAGTAGGGTGAGCTCGTGCCTTTGATAAGCCTCAACTACCGGCAGATTGTTGCTGTTCACGTTACTGTTGCTCGACTCGGTATGCCGCAGGTTTTCCGTGGATCTTCGGCGCGTCTTTGATCGCGCGTCGTCGGCGCCGCCGCCGCCGCTGTGATTCGGTAAAACTGCAAATTTTCCCACCACAGGATCAAAATTATCCGAGATCCCGTCGCTCGTCAAGAACACTATGTCGCCCCTCTCGACCTCCGTTAGGGCCAGCGTTAGGTTATTCAATTCGGGATTAGAGCCGTCCACTGGACCTAGAGCTCCCAAGGCATCTCGCATGTCTCGCATACAATGAATATCGTGAGAGCCTCGCGTTATCTCTCTCACCCCAGTTTTCCTGTTTTTACACAAGAGACGACTATTAAACGAGCTCCAGCTTATTGTCCACTGCAGTTTGTAATTCAGTAACATAACGGGAGGATTACATACCCTGAATATACATAAGCTAAACTATCACCAACGTTACAGGTACAGGCAATATATTTTCTCTGGCGTATATTTGTATCGGTACTCGAACTTGGCAGTGGAAGGATCGTGCATACCGTCAAGGTGGTAAGCATTCCTTGCTCCTGAAGTATTAACGAATGTGCCGCATGGAATGATCGAAGTAACGCTATGAATACATCCTTTGTCGTTGTCATTTCACTATTTATAGACGGACTGAATAGGGCCTGGTTCAAATACTCTATACTTCCATGAACTGCAGATCTGGCTGCTATACTCGCTTTTGCACCTGAAACTCCGAATTATAAGTATCTCTTGCAACGTTAAATTAACGTAGAAAGATGCTAGCGGAAAAAGGTGTCGAGTCTGTTTAGTTTTAAACATAAATGAAGCAATAAGTATAAAGAAAAAGAATTAATTATATTTTTCTGTCAGTTACTAAACAGTTCCTAATACTTCAAATTTTAAGATATTCATTGAACAAACATTAAAATTGCAAGTACAGTTGTAAACTTTTATTTTGCTCTTGCTTCAATTTTTGTCTTTTATGAGTTTATCCAATATTTTTTTTTTTAGATCTACTGTGTTTTTACCCCAATTGACACCATCTGCAAGAGCCAATATGGCAGAGTTTGGTCTTGCTATAATGCCAAAACAATCAGCTATTGGCTCTCCATTGTTCGTATCATTTGTAGGATTTTTCTCATAAAGTGTGGTCGCAATTCCGTATGCATTTTCATGAGAATTAAACCAGTCGGTAACTCCAGCGATTGTGACATTTGATGTTGTTGATCCTGAGAGAAGTTTTTTGTATTTTTATTTATTTTTCAATAACATAAGAATCTATTTAATTAATATCTATGTTCTAAACTCACCACTTCTGTATTGCTCATTTTGATCTAGCATATCAATGTAATCAATATCGGTATCGTTAATACTTAAATGTTTCTGCTGAAGATTGACCGCGGTAAGACCACTGTCGGGACCAGTGTAGGCTGCAAATATTTCCTCATTCTCTTGAGAAACGTCGATCTGCCTGCTCGGCAATTCTTCCGGATTACGGCCGTGTAAAATTGGTGGTCCTTCTTGTTTCGTTTCAAGCCTAAGAAATTGTAAATGAAATGTAGATGTATATTAGATAGAGCGTCATATTGGACAAGTGAAAGAAACGCGAGCGTATCGGAGTAACGTGTAACTCCATTTTTACCCGTTGAGGTAGCGTGTGATGAAACAGCCGCCAGGAAAATCCTGAGTTAATGACTGCGGGCTTCGAAGTGGTTCCCCGAGGCCTATACTTTCCACCGCCCCAGCCAAATTGCTGATAGACAATTGGCGCATGAAACCGGCAACTTTCTTCCGTAAACTTGGCATCTTTCAAAGAGGCCCAAGCAAAGGGTACAGCGATTAAGAATGTTAATTATTGTCTAACATTACTTCATCTGATAAGGCTCATACCATGGTTAGATACCAGCGACAGGTCTCAAATTAAACCTACAATTAAAAAACAATGCGTAAGAATGTAAAGACAAATAAAATCTCATGATGAGCATGTAGATGAAAATTAAATAACAAATAAAATAAAATAGAATGGAGCAAGTGTAAAGTCAGTTTTCAAAGACAATGCGTAAGAATGTAAAGACGAATAAAATCTTATGATGAGCATATAGATGATAATATAGATGAGAGTTAAATAATGTAAATAAAATAAAATAGTTGTTTGTAAAGTCAGTTTTCATTAATTACAATAATGCTAATTGAATAAGTATGATAAACAAGGAGGATATCAAATACATACAGTAAGTCAATTATTTATCTGTAACTTTTCGAAAAGATTTCCGATAAGTATCTGAAATTTGAGAACATTCTTCTGTATTGAGTTTCTTTTCTAAATAAATTTATCAAATAATACTTCTATCTAAGATAAATAAATTTATCAAACAATATTTCTATCTGAGCTAAATTTATCAAACAATATTTCTATCTATAATAAGATAAATAAATTGATTAAACAATACTACTATCTTTGTTTAATCCAGTTTACACTAATGTAAAGTTAAAGGAAAAATTGATTACATATATCTTTCTTAAACAAACGAATAAACAAACAAAATCAGTTTAGTTAATTTAATAATAAATTAGAAATAGATTACATCTTTCTTAAACAAACAAACAAACAAAATCAGTTTAGTTAATTTAGTAATAAATAACTTTTCAATTCGAGCCCAATACGAGCTTGAAGCGTAGATTTACGTATGATAAATTAATTACATATACTTATGTTTCATACAATCTATTACAGAAAATAAATTTTACAGAATAAATGAGAAAAAAAAACTCCAAATTATTTATCGCACGTATATATATATATCTGCACCTTAAGCTCGTGTCAGTTTTAAGTAAAGAGTTATCCCTTAAACAACACACAAAAAGACTCGATTGAATAAGATTTTTTTCTTCGTTCAAAGATTTATTACTCCGCAGTCGTCTTATTGACACTTTGACATATCAAAAGGCACTATAGAAAAACGCGCACGTCAGTCAGGACGGATGTCGACGGGAGGCACACATTTAAAAGGAACTGCAGGGCGACTCCACCGTCGACCGTGTCACACGCGGATATAATGAGACAATTACCTGGGAATATTCTCACTGCACGGAAATGAGATCACGACACGCGCTGCGTGAGGCCATCGTTTTCCACCTTACCGCCATATTGGGACGATATGTCAATAGCCGACTGCACCGACCGCTCGCGATCGCGGGCCTACCTCCCACAGCTCCCACCACGGGATCGCTGTCGCGACGGCGAACGACGAGGCGGCGCGGCCGCGGCCCCTCGCCTCGCTCGCTCGCTCGCTCGCTGCATACATGGAAATAGGAACGTCGCTCGCGCGGCCGCGATTAATATGGGCGATAAAGCGGCGCCAACGGACGTCACGTTCGGATCTCGCCGCGTTCTCGCCGAGGTACGTAACGTAAATAACGTATTGTGCGCGCAACGGGGTCGGGCGGAGGGGTGGGGGGAAGTCCGGGGGGGAGATCCCGTTCTCGCGCGAGAATCGACATTTAACTTCGATTGACTCCGATTCTCGCGCGCGGCAGCCGAAATCAGCTGGGCGATCGCAAGAGAGAGAGAGAGAGAGAGAGAGAGGCGCGCTCGCGCTACGCCGCACCCGCACCGCACCGCATCCGTACCGTATCGTACCGTACACCGTGCCGCACCACCGCACCGCGCGGTGACAGCAACGATGACGATGACGACGACGACGATAACGACGACGACGACGACGACACGGCTGCGCTCTTTTTTTGGTCTGTTTTGACATTTGGCGAGTCAATATGGCGTCCACATCACAGATGAGAGTCCGCGAGTCCTCGCGGTTGTCCTAGCGAGATCATACCGTTCATACCGCGGAATCATACACGGCGTCGTACACGGCATACCCACGGGCACCCGAACGCCGAACTTCTCCATCCGCACAGGGATTCGACGCGAACGTTCCCGACGACACACTGCCCTCATCCCCCCGATCTCGGCGCGCAACGAGTAGCGTGTTCGGATTTCGGATAGTGCGCGAGCATTTCTCTTCCGCGTGCGGAATTATATTATTATATAATCGTTATTTAAAATCCTGTTATCCGAGCGACGCTCGCCTCCGCTGGACGTTCGACTCCCGTAGGAAAGCGCTCGATCGCGCGAGAGGAAAGCGACTACCCGTTGCCCGTTGAACAGTTAATTCTAACGTGGAAAAATTTCACGTGATATTATTTCCATGTATGTTTTTCGCAGAAGTTTCTCATTTTATATACATATATAACGATATGACATCTAATGTAACGCGAGTATTAATTTATCTAAAATATTGCAAGATCGCAAAGTGTTTTGATATTAAAGTGTTGATGGGTTTTCTCCAATGTTGCACTTTCAAGGTATGGGACTGTGAATACCCGGATGGCTGGTGCTCTCTAGGAAGTTGACAGAAACACAGGGTTTTAGAGATTATACTGCACGGATGACAGCAGAAACGTAAGATGTTCGAGTCTCCGAGAAGTCTCCAGGAGGTTTGCATCGACTTTATCTGCGGTAATGTTCTCGGCCTGTGCAAGGTTCATCCTAGTGATACGAATTCTCCCAATACTCCGAGTAGTATTGCCGTATCCGGTAAGTGGCATATATATATACAAAAACTAGCGGTTTCTCTCACGCGTCCACCGACTTTGTAGAATTAAAGCATCATAAGTTTTAGATGAACAAGATAACTGTACGCTGAACAGTAATAGCGCAGAAGTTGCTTTTGATACTACAACAGGTCGAGCATCGTCTAACGATGCTCCCCCGAGCTCAGCAACTCGGCTTACCTTTAAACATCCGGATGCCTTCTTACCGGCCGAACTGTCAGAGCAATTATTGTCCAACTTATGTGAGAAGAAAACGTTATCCGATTTAACGATTACACTTTTTGACTCAAAGACCACTAGATTAAGGTGACGAGACTTGAGCGTATTTTAGGAAGGAAGAAAAAAAATGTGGATCTATAACAACAGCTAATCTTTCTTTCCACAGACATGTACGGTTGAAAGATGCGTCAACATTATCAGCTAAAGGCTTAAGCGTTCTTAAGCAACATAAAGTTATAGATTTAATAGTAAATGGTCTGAAGATCACTGTTAATGATTTAATTAGCTGTTTAAGCGATTGGAGTATACAAAATCTTAGGTCGCTAAGTGTAGCTAAAGGAAGCTTTATGGATTTTTCAAGGTTATTACAACACTTGACATATTTGTAACATTGTTAAATTACATTACGAAAGCTCTTTATAATTTTATATCTTTACACATATTTTTTGTTATAGACAACGCATGGTAGATATCGCAACATTAAACAAATTAAAGGCACTTCATACCTTGAATGTCTCAGGAACAGAATTTAACAAACACGGCTTGGACATAGTAGTCGAAGATCTTCCCCTCTTAGAGAGCTTAGATATATCTTGTACAAGAGTCGACGATGTAACACCGTTGAAAAAATGTAAAGATCGTTTAAAGACATTAAATATGTATAATTTAAAGATAAGTGGATGTGGAAATTTAATACCAGTATTGCTGGAGCTAAACCAATTAAGGCATTTAGATATTTCCGATGAAAAAGATCCGCATGGCTTTGAAGTTTTTGCACCTGCTAAGCCACAAATAACGGACTTTCTAAGAACTCTGAATTGTATGCCTCACTTAACAACTCTAGATTTATCAGGTGAGTGGTATGCAACATAATTACATATACATAATAATAATTTGATATTGCGTGTTGCATTTCATGAAATTATTAGTTAATTATATTGACATTAAGTATAACATTTATTACATAGGTAAAGACGATATACATCCGAAAGATTTAAAAAATTTTATTGCATCACACGTAAATTTGAGGTTTCTGGGACTGGTACATTCTGATGCTTGTTACGATGAAAGTTTTATAGATTCATCACGTGAAGATTATAAATCTGAACTTGTTGTAAGTTGACAATATTCACATAAATTCTACAAGCATATATCGTCTCTATTATTCTAATATCTGAAAAAATTGAATTTTTTATTTTTGTTGTATTTGTTGTATTTATGCGGATATGTAGTAGTATTCCTATTCATTATTATTTCTAGTTGTGTAAAATTTGACATATTTTACCATCTATTCATATTACTTGCCTTGGATTCATAATATTTTTGTATCATTGTGTATTTCATTTTGCATTATAATTTGACATTTTTAATTATCGTACAAATGGTCGGTTTAATATTAATTTATATATTGTAGACATTTATTTATACTTCAAAGTATAAAGTAAATTATTACAATATTCGTGTGTTAGTATCAATTCTTCATACATCTATTCTGTCAAATATGTATGTTATAACAAATCAATTTTTATTTGCAAATGTAAAAATTTGCCAATTATAAAATTCGGTTATTTTACTTTCTTTATTAGAAGTTTTGTATTTATATCTTGTGTTATAATACAGAAAGCAAAAGCAAAAAGTATAAAGAAATATGCAAATGAGATATCCTTAAATAACATAATAAATATTAACAATTAATTGACAAGAAAAGAAATAAACGTTTTTACGGAAATTCACAATGAAATAATACATATTCTATGTCTTTTGCTTCAGATCAGTGGTACAGCAACAGAATCTCAAATTCTGGAAGCCCTTAAGAGGTATACATATAGACCGGTATATCTTCAAAAATGTTTATTTAATTTGTTCCGTTTGACACCAAACTTTCTTGAGCCACGAGTCGATGTGATAAAATTAGTATTACCTGGAATGAGAGAGCATCCACAGGAGTTTCGTGTACAAATGGCAGCAACTGCGTGTATCTACAATCTGACAAAGGGTGAAATGGCTCTCATGATTCATCCGTCAATACTTAAACAAATAGTTGAATTAACATTATTAGCGATGGAAACATATCCAACTAATCATCAACTTCAAAAGAACACATTATTGACCCTGTGTAGCGATAGAATCCTACAAGATGTTGCATTTGACAAATATAGGTAATTATATAAATTAATATTAAATTTATGAATCTATAATTTCGAAATCCAGTATGCTGAGATTTCAGTATCTTTAGTATCTTTAATAACTTCAATATTTTCAGTATCTTTAAAGTCTATCAATATTTTGCATATTATTTGCATAACATGCAAATTTTCAAAAATAATACTACATTAAAAACGATAAAAATGCACTTTTGTAAATGGAAATTGATCACATAACAAGAGAAAATGTGCACATTTACAATAATAGTTGGATTAATAGGAAGTCGGTATCGGTGTCCACTTATTTCTTATATGTTAAAAGGTTATCAAACTTTTTTTATTTTTTTCTGTCTTATGAATTAAGACTGTTAAATATTTATGCATAACGTGAAGAGGTATTTCATTTTATTACAAAATTTGCTTTTTTTTTAATTTGTCATAATAAAATAAAATGCTCTAGTTATAATTATTCATAAAATTCTTCCTACATCTTCATTAATTTTCATATTGCAATCATCAAAATTAAAAGAGTAGTTTATTTTATTAAATCACGATATATTTATATTAGAATAAATAAATAAGAATGTTATTTTTTATATAAATTTAGTTTTTCTTACGCATATAAAATGAATGAAATGTAGGTTAATATTTTTATCTACGGATATTGAAATTTCAGTATATCTTCGATTGCATATCTTCGTGATATAAATTTAAAAAAGTTTTCAATTTAAAAATTCTTAATTTGACAGATGCGCAAGATTAGTTATGAATTGCTTATCCACGTTTGATGACGCATCCATGAATCGTATGTCTGTGGCTATTTGCTCAATATTAGCAGCAAAGATATCGACATTAGAAACATCTATGCTTGGTGCACAGCCGCAATACATGTTGAAATTGCTTGCAATGGTTAGATCTAAGGTCGAGTCCAAATTAGTAGATATTACAATGAAATTTACATTAAGCGCTCTATGGAATTTGACGGACGAGAGCGCTGCTACATGCAAAGTTTTTCTTGACGAAGGTGGAATGGAGTTATTTCTTGAAGTGTTGGATAGCTTTCAAGGAGAATCTAGTGTGGAAACTAAAGTTCTCGGTTTGTTAAACAATATAGCAGAGGTATGTATTAGAGTCTTTAATTAATGTATAATTTCGTGATGAAATATGCATGTTATATTTAATGAAATGTATCAAGAAATTTATTTTTTGTATTGAAAATTTCAGGTCGATCATTTAAGACCACGGCTTATGCAACCTCGGTTTATAAAAATGCTTTCTAGGTTGCTTAATTCCGAGCACATTGATGTATCTTATTTCGCAGCTGGTATAGCTGCGCATCTACTTAGTGATGGTCCTCGATCTTGGAGTAGTATGCCATCACAACCGAGCAGGAAGCAGTTATTAGACAAACTGGTCCGTGCCGTAACTCATTGGCAAACACCACAGGGAGAGATGGTTGCCTATCGCAGCTTCCAACCATTTTTCCCATTGTTACGTTGTACAGAAGCATATCCTGTTCAACTCTGGGCAGTATGGGCAATTCATCATGTGTGCACAAAGAACCGTAAGCTTAAAAAAAACATTTCACATGATATAAACTATGTTGGAATGTAATAATTTATCTTAATATAAAAAAAATAAAATTTTAAGAATTAGTATACTTTACATATGAATAATTATATTAGTTACATTTGTAACATGAAACACGTTTCCTTTTTACTTTATCACTCATAAAAGACTTTTGAAAAAATGATTGAAATATACAAGTTAAATATAATGATAATCCATAATAATGGTATCGTATATTAATCATAATGTTTTATTTTCAGCAAAACGCTATTGTGTAATGTTGATCAGAGAAGGAGGAGTAGAAACTTTAAAACAATTGGAAAAAATGCATACAGAATATACAACACAACCGAATTTGCAAAGTTTATGTCAATCAATTTTGGAAACGCTTGAATTAAACTCTTAACGATAACTGTTGCTTTTCAATTTGAAAGTTAAATGCCACATGGTATACTAGTCAATGTTTATCTTAGTGCAATCCTATATCCTGTTCTTTAGACCAAATAAATATAAAAATTACATGGCCATGAATAATTATATCACAAAGACAGACTGCAATTAACAAAATACATAACACAAATTATAAATCCAAAATATTTTAATTGCAATTGAATTGATATTGTGGCTGAATGATTGAAGATCTGAATTGAGAAATACGTATATCTCTGTATTACAGAGCATGTTATATATAGAATTAATTTTGAAAGTTATTCAAATTATTTAGTAATAGTTGTATGAAATAAACTAATAAGTAAAGAAAATTTACTACTTTAAACAAATAAAGTACATAGCTTATAGCAATAATATATAGATATATAATTTTAAAGAAAAAATGTGATTTTTTTTATCAAAAAAAAAAAGGAATATGATAATTTATCCTTTTAAATAATTCATCTAATTATACTTATTTTTATAAATTACTTTGATATTTATATTATTTATAGTATTATTTTAAAGTCTTTTTTAGTTACAACTTCAGAGTTACGTTATAATTATTGCAGAAAATAGCAGCGTTAATCAATCATAAACGTTTATAATGGAATTATAAACGTTTATGATTAAGATATACGTTTATTTTTACGGCTTTAATAAACAATGAATTTAATAAACGGTGAAGATTATCTTTATAATTTATATCTCAAATTCTAGTCTAGTTAATTACTATCGTAAACGAGAACGATAATTAAAACAATTATCCATTTAAAATATCTAATTTAAACATTTATTTATATTAGATATTTTAATGATTAATAGTACAAGAAAAAAAGATGATCGTATTAAATTGTTTTATACAATTTATATAATGCTCATAATTAATAAAATTGTATTAATGTAAAATTTGATTGAGTACCTAATTTTACATATAAATGAAAAATTATTCTTAGATTTATGCCTGATTAGTATATCTAATATAATCTAAAATCGCATAGAATTGTATCTTGAATTATGTATTATGTATTACACATTTACTATTGTATTTAAAAAAAAATACAATAGTATTACACATTTACTATTGTATTTTTCAAAAAAATACAATAGTCAATGTATAATAAAATTAGACTAACCTTCACTTTGCTATGATTCAATGAAGTGGTGGGACATATACGAGATAAGGTATTAAAATAATTATTTTGTTGAATGTATCATACTTTAATGCTTCAAAATTCGGATCTTCAATCTATTTTGTTAATAAATATCTTTCATGGAGAATTTACATTATTAAGATGGTTTTATCGCTCAACGCCAACTCAATAGTGTTATGTTGTCACATAAATGGCACACAATCGCATATGTACAGTCTATGCGAAATGTTTTTATTGAATTACGCTTGTTTTTATTGAATTATTAGTCATATGGAGTGACTAACTTTTGACTGGGATTTGCACGATAAAACCACCTATATTGATGAAAACATTTTGAAAATTGATCATGCGTATTACATGCCTTCAGAAATTATACAAAAATCCGAGTTTATATAAAAAAAATTAAAAGAGAAATACATATTAATATTAGATTATATCTGTTATTAAAATATTACGAATTTATATAAACGAAATTTATTCTTCTGATATCATTACATGTTGACACCTAAAATGTAAGAAATATCAATTTGAATAGTACTGAATGTTAATAAACATGCTATATCAGCGTTTATATATTGATGCTTTTTCTTTGATGGATCAGTAACTGCATTATTACACATCAATAGCATTGATTTCAACAGATTTTAAATAAATAGTAGATGTGTAAAAATGCATCTTTCTTCCTTTCCTCATTGAAATATCTAAAAAATTTTATATTAGCCAAGAAATTCTTTATTTACCACTCATTAATTTTACATTTTTTTTTTGTTACACATATATCTTAATAATTTTTTTTCTTTAATGAAACGTAAAAATTGTTCATGAAATTGTATTGTTATCACTCAATTGATGCTGATGCTGCGCTGCACCTGCAAAATACTTGCGACATGGAAGTAACATTACGAAATGTGTCTCAATCATAAATGTGTTGAAAATCGGCACTCCTCCTAACACCTTAGCACACAATGGATCAATATTTCAGAAACATATTTTACACGCATCTTACAAATTAGTAGCAATATGTTTAAGATAAAACTCAAGATGTATAGTTAGTACTGAGTAAATGAAAGTTGCACATGACGAAAAATATGCAACGTTTAACACCTCATACAATGAAATTATAACAATTCATAATTTCTTGGCGCAACTTTCAGTTATCATGCATACAAAATTTACTACAAATTATAGTTATATGATATTATTCTAGACATTCACTTTTTGTAGTTCAATTTTTTTTACAGTTTTATAACATTTTTAATCGACAGCATTTTTTTATGAAGTAGATAATATGTATCAATTTATATATATGTAGTTCATTAAGTAATTATCTGTTTAGATAGGTATTACTGTGTAGTAGTTTTCTTGTCTTCTTTATAGCATTCTACAGTATCAGCCTTAAAAAACACAACACATATCTCTACATACAATTATCCCTATAATTACATTATCATTTTATGTCAAAAATAAGACATCAAAATACAATCATGTTTTCATATAAATTTACTATTAATTCTTTTATATCAAAGTCAGTAGAGTGCTTTCTCAGTTTCTGTTTTTAGGTGTACACACAAATTTTCAAGATATATATATTTTTAAACGATATTATATATTATTTGCATGAGCTATTTACTATGAATATAATTATTCTTAATAAACATGTAATATTTTCATACAAAATTAATGATATGGTTGAAATTTAGATATCTGGCATATACATATGAAATATTTGATCACTGATAAAATCTAACTAATATATATACATGTATGGATATATATACACACACATACACACACATATATAAATAATTGATTTATTAGTGTCAAATATTTCATAAATAAAATTCATTTATAAAACTGAATTGAATTTAAACTCAAATATTTTAATATTGTTTAATTAAAAAATTATGATTATATATATTTAATTATGAGATTTGCTAAATTTATATTAAATATACTTTATTAAATGTATTTTGTATCAGATACACAAAACAATTGAAATATATATGAACATATAGAAATCGGTGGAATTAGGTCAAGTAAAATATTTTGGAAAAGCTTTAAGGCGGATACAAAATTTAATTTAGTACAATTTATTAATTCTACTCAGGCTTTAACAAAAATCTATTGAACTACAATAGTGAATGATCGCTGTTCTACAGTTGTAATTTTATTATTGATAATTATTAAATCAAATATATATAATTGTGCCCGTCTGTCCAATCTTTTTTTCTTTTGACATGATGTTTTTCTCTTTTTTTTTCCCTTCGTATCAGTTTTTTTTTTCTGTGGACATATCATAAGAATTTACTTAAATATCTTAACCGCTTTTGAATGCAATGCATGATGATATACGCGTTTGTAAGTTTCTTGTGTGAATTGTTAATCAATTTTTCACAAAAACTTACAATTTGCAATGTTATTATCTCACAAGGCCATATTCTATACTTTCAGTCTAGAAAATATGTGGACAATGTGCATGTTTAATTGGAATTAATAAAAATGTAATACAATTTTTAGCTAAACTAGAGTAAAAATATGCAAATATATAGAAAAGTAAAGTAAAACAAGAGAATCTTATTTCGCAATTTTTTTATATATATTGCAATATTTTTTAATAGTATAGATACTTATTATGGCCAAGTGTCAATACTAATGTATCTAGATATCATATTTCTTTATAGTTAATAAATAAAAGCTAATATATCTGTTGATTTTTTCATAATTTTAATTTTGTTGCATTACTAAGTTTGATCATATAGATACATCAGATTATATTGAAAGTTAGGTTTACTAAAAGTTAAATAATAATTACTATTAAATCATAATTTTGCCATCTGAATCATGCGAAGGAATGACCAGAAAATTATATTTGGTTTCATCTTTTTATTCGTTTAGAAAAAATGTTATTTAATTCTTTGAAACATAATATTACATATATGTCACACTTCTTGGAAAAAAAAAATATATATATATTTCTTGCACTCCAATTTCTTTTAATTTTATACCTAGTATTTTGAATCGCTGAATCCGAATCTAAAATAAAAATTTCAAATTTCACAATAGTTTACTCAAAGTCCAACAAATTTTTTATTCGTACACTATAGCAAAAAATTTTGCTTATACAAAATATTTTAAAACTTTATATCTGAAGGTTTTTAAAGTCGTTGATTTCGAATTTGAAGCCAAAATAATTTATAAAATTTCAAGATACAAAATGGCAGATCAAATTCATAAAAGTTGTCAAATTTGATTCTCAGGAGTTTTAAATCGCTGATTTTTGAAGTAAAAATATATAAAGAATACTTACTATACAAAATAAAAATATAAAAATTCAAAATAATGGATCCAATATGACCGACATTTCGTTATTGTTTTTCAGTACGTGTCATGTCAGATCATTTGCCATTTTGAATTTTAAAAATTTTCAAATCTGATTGCATACTCGTAATCAACGACTTCAAAAAGCTCTTGTATGCCAAGTTTCAAGAAATTTATAAGAAAAATATATGCTTCAAAGGATTAAAAAAATTATTTGAATGACTAATAAATATACGGCTATTTATCTTGATGTTACATGATTAAATAGAAGATTAAACAAAAGAAAAATGTGAGCAAATATTACTTGAAAATGTCTAATTAGACAATTCTGATTTAATGCTCTATATGTATATTCAAACATCTTTATTGATTTACTATTTTTATTTAAATAAAAATTTATTGTTCTTAAATTTTAAATACTTCAGGTCCTTCCTCGAGTTATAATAAAATGCATGAAGTTCAGAAAGCTCCAGAAAGTTTAAAAGCGTTCAAAGAAATGTTCTTTTGTTGCTATAAATATATATATATTTCTTAAAAATCTATGTAAATTGTTAATTATAAGTGATTAGCAAAAATTAAACATATAATAAATTAACTTTTTCACAACTAAGAACTTTTCTTTGAGCAATAAATAAAAATTATCACATACTTAAAATAATAACTTACCTTGACACTTGTAAAATAATGTTTCCACACTTTAAAATGGTCAATATGGCATATAGTAACCACGTCTGTAACTCCTATAAGAGAAAAACATGAAGTAGTAAAATTAATAAAAGATATTACTTTTTTTTAAAAAACAAAGATTTACACAATTGTCAATATATTCATTAAAAGATAGCAAAATTAATTATTACCTAGGCCGCCTTGTAGGTCTGTATCCAAAGTATGCACTACCGCGAATAATTCCTCTAGCCATACCTCGATAGCCTCTTGCACCTCTGGGACCCCTATAAATAAGCAATGAAATACAAGTGTCAACTGTATAAAAAAATCCACATAAATATGTACACATAACATCAATAATTTTTTGTTATAAAAATTTATATTGTTTTATAATTATGAACATGTTATTTAAAACAAAGAATCACCTGTTTGTCATAGAGAAACCAGGTTTATTTGTCCTTTTAGGCATTACTTTAATTTGACGTCCTCTGAACATTGATTCATCCATGGCCATTGCGGTTTGTACAGAGTCGCGTTCGGCAAATTCGATATAAGCAAAACCTTTAGGGTGACCATCGAATTTATTACACAAGATTGTTACTCTGTTGACACTGCCACAGCCATGAAAATGTTGCTCCAATTCTTCCGCCGTAGCACCATAATCAACCTACATACAAAAAAAACCAAGCTTTGAATCTGAACAATCTTATTATTATCTTGTACTATAATAATACATTTTATAAGAGAATTATGCTATAAATTTCTGTAACAACATAAATAAATGAATGACGCTAAACTTACATTGCCGACATAAATGGACCGATTATCGACTTCCATTTTATCTTCCAATGACATATTTAAAGGGCTTGCTAATAATAAGATATATAATAAAATATAGTGAGATAAATATAAAGATATATAATGATATATATGAAAATATCTTTGAATATAACTAAAATATTCGGTTTTGTTTTTGTATATACTTTCTTATAGAAAACAAACTTTTAAACTTACTAATACCAGGTGGACTGCCCATGTTCATCTGTTTATCTACCTCAGATTGGAGCTGTTTCAATTTCTCAGCTTCCTCCTCCATTTCCCTTACTCGTGCTTTAATCGCTTCTAATTCCTAAATTACACAATATTTTATAAGATAAATGTTACTGTATAAAAGGGATTTTATCACTATATTATAACGCTAAATAAATAAAAACAGCAATTACCGGATCGTCAACGTTTGCTTCGCCTAATTCACGCTTCACACCATCACACTGCATAATAGTATCTCCATCTTGGCCATTTTCAAGACCATCTAGACCATCAATGTGGTCACCAGCTAAAAGATCGGATTCAGACATCTCTGAAATACGCAAACAAATAGAAGTTATGAAGAGAAAAAAATTAACTGTGCCTTAAATTAATATTTAGAAGCAAAAATGCATTGTATTCTCACATATGTTAAAAATTATTATAAATTCCTGTTATACATTTATTTATATATCATGTGTAAACTATATTTTCTTTGCTTTGAAGTAAAACAAAAAATAAAGTATGTTATTTTATTCCAAGAAATGTATAGTGTGTCAATATTTATGTTCACTATTTATTTCCTCTATTATATTGCTCTATCAATTAATTATATATCAATGGCCTAAACCTGAATAATCAAGCAAGTCATGTACAACTTGCAACATATAGCATACTTATACGATTTGGCGACAAGTCAGACGATAGCAAGAGGGCAAAATGCAGAAATATACATATTTAATATAATTTTTCCGAGAAAAAAATAAACATGTAAAATATGTTACTTTATTCCAAGAAATGTGTAGTGCGATGTGATATTTACGCTCACTATTCATTTCTTCTATCACATTGCTCTACAAATTAATTATATATCAGTGGCTTGAACCTGATAACCGAGCAAGTCATGTACAAGTTGCGACATGTAGCATACTTATACGATTTGGCGACAAGTCAGACGACAGCAACAAGACAAAATGCAGGAATATACATATTTAATTAGTTTTTCCGCGAAACCGGAACCGAGGGAGAGGCTCGTGTATTCTCCGTCTGACTAAACAAAAATTGTGGATGCTCTCAGTCCGAGATGAGCGGGAGGGATCGCATGCAAAACCGATACGTAAAGCGAACCGGGGATTAAATCGTAATCGGCAATCTCAAGAACGACGCATGCACGATGTAGTCCGTCCTACTCTCCGGCGATTGTTCGGATACGGTCCTACGTTACGCGTAAAAAGCCGACAGACACCGTATCACTGTTCGTATTCACGGGGAATAAGGAGAAACGTACAGGCGTATATGTGGCGAGCGTGTTCGAAGTATCCCAATTATTCGATAAGAGCGGCTGACTCGCACACCAGTCACACCGGCCGCCGATATTCGCTCTCACGGAAATCAGTAAATGAAAGAGTGACGCGACCACGACCACCATGCAAAGAGCGAATTCAAAGATTCAGCACGGTGACTCAAGCACGGTTTCGATTAAGCGCCATCGTCGCCCTCCTTCGGACAAGCACGTTGTATCCGATTGGTCGAGCTTGCAGCGGATTCGCATGAAAGCAGCGTCGAAATGATGGAGAAACTTTCTTCCTCGATTGGCTGTTAGTTTTGCAATTATGAAATTGAACACTGTTCAGATAATTTTTTAATTAATAATTGAATTGATTAGATTATTTTTTAATTATGTTTTAGACTAATTATGGGAGAAATTTATATTTTCTTATTACCTTTTTACAAATTTATTTATTTATTTCTTTTTGCAGGTTTATTTAAATTTTTCTGATTAAATTAATTTTTGTGCTAATAATATTTATAAATTATATAAATTTTTTAATCTTTAATAATCTTAATTATAATCATTAATTTGATTAATAATTTTACATTAAAATATTTGATTTATTTCTTAATATTACACAAAATCGTGTAATAAATCGAGAAAAAATTAAATTAAGAAATGGATTAAATAAATTACACACACACACACACACACA